AAAGGGTTCAACAAAGGCAAGGGAAGCTGCCCAAATCTGTGAGCCAGGGTCGGGTGCGTGGGAGTGCTGGTGTATAAATGGGACGCCAGGACGCTGCTTAGGAACAGGGCCCTCTTGGCCTTTTTAGTCAGCCAATTTGCCACCCCTCCAACTAGCAGATGCTCACTGATGGTTTCCCCTCCTCGGGCCTGAAACTCTGTTGTGGATGGCAAGCGACGGGATGCTTGGCAAAGGCCGGGGGATAGGGATGGAGAACGAAGAGGCTCTGCATTACAGACATTCCCACAAGAGCAGATCTTTCTTGGCTCTCCACAAAAGGAAAGAAGGTGGGGAAGGAGGGAAGACAAATGAAATTCAGTATCTTTAATCCCTCACCCTTCCAAACTATTAGGGTTTGTTGTTACAGACGTTTTCCTCAGCACAGCCGAATGGAAACTCTGCTGCTTTCCTAGCTGTGGACAAGTTGAAATATGAGAGAGAAAGACAGACCCTGTGTGTGAGGAAGGGGGGGGGGGGGGGAGAAGAGAAGCCCTTCACGCCCTTTCCACCAGAGCTAATGCATTTTGCAGGTGCCGTTCTCCAACATCCAGTCAATACAATGTTCCCCGCACAACAAGGCTGTAGGCAGAGGCTCTTTCCATGGAGTAGCAAGGGAAGAGAGGAGTTGGGGTCTCAGAGCCTGTATGGAAGTAGATCCATTAATAAGCATAATAATAGCCAGAAGGGCACATCACCTTATAGCAAGAGAGTTTTGGAAGCTAGCCTTTTTATCCCGCCATTTTTCTTCCAGCCAAAGACAAGAATGTTCCACATAAAAAGCCACACTGGAAAAAATCTACAACTATTCGGATACATCACCGAAAGGATCCACTTGGTGTTGCAACTCTAGACACGACATCCCACTAATCTCGCTTCCTATTGATCCATAAAACTGTCTCCCAAGTGCCTTTGGAAAAGATTTATAACAAAGCACGAAGCCCCGCGTTGGACACTCTTGCTCCAGTCCCCAGCATCGCAACCATCCTTTCGTCAGTGCTGCTGGCAAACTCAGAGAGAAAAAAAGAGCCAAGAGCAAGCAACAGGTGCTGTGGGAGAACGGGTGGTAGGAGGAAGACATCTCAGCCAGGCGCTCTCATACTTCCAGGCTGAAAGCTCATTTCACGCTGGATGCCCTGCAGCCAAAGTCCTGCTACCATAAGCATGCTTAGCATTTATTCTGGCCTGTATTCCATGTATACTACTTCAGTGACCCCCATTTCTGGTTACCCAAGCTCCTGGCTCTGCTTAATGTATATTTGCTTCTTAAAGCAACTTAGAGATGGACAAGGATCAAGCAGCCCCATTTATGGGGAAACTGAGGCAGAGGGTGGGCAAGTGAGTTGGGTCTCACTACTGCCTTGAGTCAAGTCCTTTCTCTTGGGCCAGCGACTGATTTGTCCTCTACAAGGAGGCAAGGTCCATGTGCCAAAGGACGCTCTTTCCATCCTGTTCAGAGAATTGTTCCCCAAGGCTGCTGGGTGTCAGCACGGTGCGATAAGCACAAATTAAAAATTAGCCCGTTTCCTCTGCGGCATCAGACATGGGTGCCAACAGAGCCAGGGGCTGGGGTGGCCCACTATCTGGCTGGTAGGGTAGGAACCTCAGAGGGTTGTAACTTGCCCTTCTGTCCCCAACCTTGAAAGAGCTTATGGGAATCCCACTAGACTATCAGGCTGACTCTCAGTATCAGCTGGAGGACTCAGGAGCCCATACTCTCACTACTCTCCCCGCTCCCAGTCTAATTGCCAGACAGAACCACATAAAGAACCAGTCAAAAATCTTTGCAGAAGATGTGTGAATCCTTCCACATCATTATAGTGCTCTACTCACATCAGAGCAACAGGGAAGCATATAGCATATATAAGCCTTCTTACAAGAGCCACAAAGCTACAGGTATTTAGGTCCGTGAACCCTACCAATGTCAGCAGTGGCCAAGGGCAGAATTCCAGCTCTTGTCTTTCCCAGTAAGCGACTGGTCTGTTCTCTCACTGAGCCAACATCACCTTTAGAATAACACACCCAAAATCAACAGCGTGCCAGCAGGGATTCATTGGATTCAACCCCTTTGTATTTCTACAAGATTTACTCCAAGAAATATTTCTATAACTGGAAGCAAGGGGAAAAAAAAAAGCGGACCCAGGAAAGAGCCCTAAATTGAGACCTTTGTGCACATAATGAAAAGCCCAGGAGGTGAAGAGATGTCATTCAAGAGGCCTGATGAGCTGCTTCAGCTGTATCTAAACAGGAAGATGCCTTGGGAACCCAGAGTTTTAAACTGTTCCTCACTCTTGAAGGTCAGCGACTTCCTTTCCCGTGTCCCAGCTCTTTATCCATCAGTGAGTGTGTTCATGCACACACTGCCCCTTGTGATGAGGTGCAGATGGGATGGTGCTCTGCTCCAGATGAGAAAAGTCTGGTTGTATTTTCAGTTGCAATTGTAGTAGCCTTGGTTACTATTTCATGAGCAGTTAAACACTGCCTCCAATGTTTAACCAAGCCTCAGAACTACTGTAACTCGACTGCTGCTAGTGGCTGCTTTTCAAATGCTGGCTCTTTCGGAGCACAGAAAGCAGCTAGCCCTGCGCTGGGGGGGAAAACCTGCATGCAACATCTGGGCAGAGGAAGAGAGGCTAGGGACTTGCTCTGAGCTGCCAAATGTGACAGAGATGGCAATCCAGCCCCATGGTTCTGGGGGCTCCCAACACAAGGCTGGGCATGGAGCTCTTGTTGGGGTGGTCAAGGTGCTGACAAAAGATCGCTGAGATGTTTGGAAATCAAAGAGAAATGATTGCCATAATTCCCCCTGCAAAAAACAGTTTAAAAGACTATTTGAAAGGGAACATCAAAATGCCGCTGGAAAGAGCAACCGTGAATTGCTGCCAAAAGCCAGGGGTAGAAAAAGCCTAGATTTCACGAAGGTGTGAATATCTTTTGACACTTCTAGGGCTTATTGCTTATAAACCAAACAAACCAACCCCCCAATCTCCACAGCAATCCTCATTCACACTTTGAAATACTGAATTTCATATGAATGGAACATATGAATCATCGCAAGGCATTTCAGTGCATCGCGGTACAAAGCAAGGCTGAAAACACCACCTCGGCTTATTACAATCTGGCTTTACAGAGCCTGAAACAAAGGCATGACAGGAAACAAATGTCTCTACAGTGTCAAACTTTTTCCCTCTCTTGATTTTTTTTTTTTAAGGGGCAATTCAGCTGTTCTAGTCGCACCCGAGAGCTCACTCCCGGCTACTGTGACATCAAACTGCGCTCCCTCCTCCACCTACTTATGGCTCACAGTGAATTCCATGGTTACAGCATCACACATTTTCCAAGAAATTGAGGCTCTCTTGACAGCTTTAGGATTCAAAGCTGAACATGCTTTTCAAGTTACAAGCCATGCAGACCCCACTTTTTGGGCAAACTGTGCTTCAGAGTGGATTATGTGAAAGAAGCCACTGCTTGGTATACACTGTGCTACTGTACACTTTTAGTCTTCTCTGGACCCTGGGACTAGGAAATAAAAATAAACACAAAGAGAAAGGTTTTGATGAAGCTAATTTCCCAAGCCTGGCTGCCCAAATTGCTCTCTCTTCAAGAATTTATCCCATTTTCTAGGGGATTTTTTTTTCTTTCCTGTGCTCCAGGGCAAAAGTTTAAGAAACCTGTGATTTCCACAATCTCACTAACAATTCTAGCAATAACACTTCCCCAAACATCACAGACTTTGCATCACAGACTATTGCAGCTTCAGGAGAAGCAAGGGGGGGATACTTGTTGTAAATCTTGGGGACTGATAGCCTCCCTAACATTTGTAGGGGTCAGCTTGGGGGCTTTGAGGCTCGAAAACCACAACGCTTCAAGAGCTGCTTCTGTAACTGAAACTAAACCTTCCAGCTGGTCCCGCAGCAAGATGCTTTGCTCTGCTACGGCACAGCCTGTGCGACTGTGCACGCGTGTGTGAATTCTATTATTCTAAACATAGCAATGCTGCCCCAGTTTGAGCAGGGGAAAAAAACCTCTTACGCAGACAGCACTATCGCTCTAGCGTCCAACATTCATAGGACTGCAGCTGAAAAAGAATAGTTTGTTTCCCAGTGTCCCTCGCTGATAGATCAAAACTGCATTTTTACAGAAGCAATAAAAAAAAATCTCAGGAATTCACTGGCCTTATGATTTATTAAACGTTCCTTATAGCAAGGCTGCCCATAGATGAGAAAATATCTCCAGTAGGTTATTACTCAGCCTGGGGCTAATATAGAGAGGGGACTCTCCTGGCTTATTGAGAATGTTCAAAGCCAAGAAACTTGGCAGAGGAGAGCATAGATTAGCAGGAGTGCTCTTTAAAAAAAGGAGCACCTCATATTTCCCAACTCAAGGTGCGCGTGAAACGAGCCCAGACGATATATCCTGATTCTAATAGGGGCTGACGACAAGTATTAGTGCAGATGTTTGTAATTGGGAAAGAGGACAGCCTCATGGTCAGATTATGGAATTGGACGCACAGTCAAAGTGCCAGGAAAGGAAGTCCCAAGGGGCACAGAACTTTTCCCAAACATTTTCTTGATAGAAAAGTAGGATTTAGACATTAGAACCAGACACAGGTTGGGCCCAAAGTGGGTCTTATTAAACAGCCTGACCATCTCCAGCCCCTGGAATACAGCTTATTACAAAGGAATGCAATTATAAAAAGGAGCAGGGGGAAAAAAAAAGAAGGGATGGTAACAGGGAAAAAGAAATAAAGAAAAGCATGCAGATGAAACCTTGCCTGGGAAGAGGCATTTGGAAGAGCCTGTGCAATATCCCTTGCTGCATGGAGAAAGGCAATCAGAATTATAGGGTCTTGTGACTGAGAAATGAGAGAGATTTTTCCTAGTCTGAGTTTAATGCAACATGTGATAGGCATGTAGGTGAAAGTAAATGAGGAGGAAGATAGATCAAGAAAAGAAAGCCCTTACCTTGTCTGTAGAAGCAGCCTCTTTAGACTCGCATGGGGAACCTTGGGGAGAGGAGGGGGTCTCTGTGGTTTGCAAGAAGCAGAGTTTGATTTGCTGGTGGGATAGTCTACTCCAGGGAACGGCGGCAGTCAGTGACTCACGTTCCTGAGAGCTTCGGGCAGCCTGGAGAGGTCTACCTTTGTAGGAGGAGAGAGGGAAAAGGACAGAGCTGATCTGGGCAGTGCTGCGAATGAGTGCATGAGGGAGGGAGGAAAGGTTTTTCATAGACTCTTTGATGGGCTAACAAGGCTCAGGACTGGGTTGGCTGGTCGAGGTTTTTTTTTTCTTTTTTCCTTTCTCTCTCTCTCTCCCGCTCTCTTGAGTGGGTTCCAGCTCTGAATTGTTTCGCTGTTTCACTGACACAGAAGGGACCGTGTTTATATATACTTTAAAAAAAAACCCACTTCTGGGAGGAGATAAGGGGGGAGGGTGGAGGAGCACTCCCCCCAAGACCCAGGCTCTACACTGTCAGCACCCTCTCCCCCACCTCCTTGCTGCAGCCCTCTGTGCAGCTGAGCAAATGACACTCCTCTTTGCACCCACTTGGCAAAATTATAACTGAGAAGATAGACATGGATGAGGGGAGCAGAACTGGGTCAGGGGGGACTGGAATGGCAGGGCTGTGCTGGGGGAAGCTGCTCTGATGTTCCCAGAGGACCAAAAAGCACTTTGCCCCCGACTCAGTGATCTGTGATGTCAAGTTGTATGAGGATGGACTGGGAGGGGCAGTGGCTCCAGACACTGGCATGTAGAGTGCAGGGAGCAGGTGTCAGTGGCTCCCTGCTTTCAAAGACACCCCAATTCTAAGAACATCAAGGTAAAAGGAACCGGGAAGTTAGCTTTTGGTGGCACCTGGGAAATGCTGAAGACCAACCAAAGCCAGGGACCAGTGCCCCACACTGCGGGAGTTTGGATGCTTCTGTTTAATTTGTGGTGGGTGAAACCAGCAGAGCAAGCCCCACTTGAGCCCGAGACATTTTAGACGCCCCCACCATCCTCCCCAACATCATGGACCTGGTGGCCCACTGCTTCTTGTGGCTTTTCTGCCCAGCCCCTAGGAACGGCATGAAGAAAAGCTTCCCTTAGCTAACAGTCATATCTGCATCCATAGCAGGAAAGGACTGATCAAACACCAGCTCTCCCCACCCCATTCAGAGAGCTGCTTGCTAGTTCCTTCACACCTGCAAGCAGCTCCAACCTCCCCCCACCCCACTCCTCTTGCACCCTCCCAAAAGCAGCCTGTGGGAGAAGACAGCTCCACATCTCTTCATTTCCCTTTCCAAGTATACATGCAACTCTAAAAATGCTGCCATTGTCCTGAAAAATGCAGCACCATTTAGAGAAAGCCCCCCCCCCCTTCAAGAAATGTTTACGCAGATCAGGAGGGGAGCTTCACTAAAAAGAGAGATTCCTGCTCGCAATCTTGACCTCTACATCCTTTACTGAAGCAGGTTGTTTGGATGAACCTGACCACTTTACATGGAGAGATGCCCTGACATTTTTTGGAAGAATAATTTGCTCCGATGCCCTATATCAAGTGTATGCTTGCTTGCAGATGCTAGTCACACTACTTGACGCACAGCTGGATGGTGCTCAGACACCAGAAGACCCTGGTGATAAACAGAATTGCAATTTATCATTCAGCCACTAGATGGCTCTGCTGCTGTAATTAGCTCTCCCAAGGGTACCAGCCCTGGTTAACAAGAGAGAAGCTGGAGCTCAAGCTGTGTGGCTGCCTGTCTGCAGTTGTGCTCCGAGCTGTTGTTCTTGCTTTGTACCTCCTGTCTAAGAAGGGCTGTGATTCCCCATGTTTTAACAACTGGCACCATACTGTGAGGTCTGATGTGGAAGAGCCGGTTGGTACTGGCTGCTCCAGGAGTGGCTACATGTTAGCGGCCCCTAGTAGAGATGGGTATTGTTTGAGGCTGGTCAGGCAGACAGGTGCTGTGGAAGTGTTAGATGTTAATTGGCTTCAACTGCTTCACCTGCCCGTTGACACTGTTCATTAACTTAAGCAGCCGCTGGTTCTGTAGCTGATTGCAGGTATCCTGAGGATAACCCAAGCAGTTGGTACGGATGAAGGCTTCAATTCTCAAGCTGATCTATGCAGATACACCCAGTGAACATGGCTGGACTGCACACTAGCATGACAGCTTGTCTGCACAGATGTCCCCCATAGCAGTGCACATCCAAAAGCCTGGCTGAAGAGCACAGTCCTACGTTCTGGCCTGGCTGTATGTGTACTCAGAGCAAAGAAGTAGATACACCTGGGTTGTTAAGCCAATTCCCCCCTTCCACCTAGTATCCCTGCTGCTGGCTCACCTGTGATCCCATGGCAGCTTGACAGGTCACATACTCACTGGTGGGTTATACTCAGCCAGGAAACAGACTTCAGATGCCCCAGAGCCCCGCTTAGCCTGGGTGCATCCCTCCAGCAGACACAGGGGTTGCAGACTCTCCATTATAGAAACCCATGTGAGACGGGGTATTACCCTGCCTGGGAACCTGCTGGGACACAGTCATGGGGTCTTAAGTAATGAGCCCTGATGCCAACAGCATGGGCACCAGCCCCAGGCAATTCATCTACAATGGTCATCTTTGGTGGTGCCCTGCACCAGTCCTCCTCCCCCATCTTTTCACCTTATAGCTCCTGCACTGAAGTAGCCCATCCTCTCTGCTAAGTCTCCTCCAGAAACCAGGGGGAGTCAGCTTAAATACACCATATTCTCCCTTCAGGGGCGAGCCAGTGAGCATGGAAGCAAACTACTTTTCCCATTTCATCAGTGGTTGAAGAACGCCATCCACCCCAAACATGCTCCAGTGTAGGCCACTCACTCTTCATAGCCTCACCCTAAAGCAGCAGCAGACTGAGAGAAGCAAACTCCTCCAGGTATATGGGGTGTTCGGGTGCCTTTCCAATAGGCTGGAGCCATCACAGCAGCTTAGGACCGGCCGGCCTCGCAGCCACATGTTTGCTTTTCTCCTGGCTGAGTGCATTCCTGGATTCTGGGCCAGAACAAAAGCTGAACGTCCTGGGAGGCTGCCCTGCGGCTCAGGCAGGGCCTATCATCGCCTCTGTGACTTACAACCTTCCTTGGGCTGGGCTCATTTATCTTCAGGAACCATGTGCCCGCGGGGGCCTGACCCTTTGCTTTGCTTGGCCACTCTTTTATCCCTGTTTTCGGAGGCGAATGAGTTGCAGCGTCTCATTGACAGGTGTTGCTGACTGCCCAGGAGAGCCCAGCCCTCCATCCATCATGGGCCCTGTTGCTGTTGGACAGGGCTGCTCCACTCCCTCTCCCGAGGACCAGCGCAGCAGCCACGCCATGAATGAGCTGCAGGGAGCCACATGCTAAACATATTTGAATGGAGGAAAGTGTTAGGTCTCCTGCCGGCAGGCTGTAAAAAAGGATTTCTCCTGCCAGACACACCACCCTGCCCTTCAGCCATTAAGGGCCTTACCCCCTGCCTGTTTCTCTATTCATCCAGCCTTCCCCAGACATGACCCTCCACCTACCCCCTTTGCCTCGCCTCTCTTTCTCCCATTCTCTGCACATACTTCTGCATGACCCGCATGCTTCCAGCCACATCTCTCTCTGTCTCCATGGTTCTTCTGCCTGATCTTGCATATTCCTATTGCCAGGGCACCTGCAGAGGCTCAGACAGGTTGAGCTCTGTGTGACAGGTGCTGCAGTGCACAGCCATCTGAAGGATATGGATAGATCCCTATGGGGCAGAGGCTGAATGGTTCCTATGAATACCCTTTCACACATCTGCCCATGCACCCACATCCATCCCCTTCATCTGTCCATCTCTCCCACGATGCTTTCTTCACTTCAGGATGAAAGTGAACGGCATGGTCCCATGAGACCCCACCAGATCCAGCTTCCAGGCCCGAGCACACTTGATCTTAGGGTTTTCTCTGAGCCCCTGACTGGATAGATACAGACCCCAATGTTCCTAAACCCTATCCCAGCAGCTGCTCTGTCAAGTTGCCTTTTCCTTCTGGGACAGCTGGCTAACATCACTGCCACCTGTATCCAGTCTGACACAGTGCCATTCCCACAAGGCATGAAATGAACCCTTTTCAGCTGGGCCTGTGTCCTTGAAGGTGGCAATGAACCCAGAAAGGCCCCTGCTCTGCTGCTTTCACTGCTGGGCTCACAGGAGGGCCAGGCTGGGGGGCTGAGTATGGCTGCTCCTTCCTGAATTTCACCAACCTGCTTGTACTCTGCTCAGGGCAGTATCATGCTCAGAGCCGAACTGGCTTGCCACACTACCACTGCTCCTTTCTTCATCTGCCTCCTGCAGATCCTCACCTCTAACATCCCCCCAGGTGGCAGAACTGGGGTTGCGGAGAGAAGGGGTTAGAGTCCGCACTGGGGTAAATCAACCCGGTCCTGGGGCATACTGCACGAAGGCTCCCCAGAGCCCTATACTCGCCTCAGAAAGGCAGCAGCTTTGGCTTTGAGAAAGGGGAAAATACAAGGGCAGGGCTGGCCCGGTGGTGCCATAACTGTGCCCTTCACAGAGCTTCCATCACGAGCCATCTGATGCAGCCAAAGGAGGTGCCCTGGGTTTAGTAGTCACAGACCAGCGCTCAAGCTGCTTTCTCGGTGAATTTCTTCCCTTTAATTATTTTTAGCATTTTATTGTTACCTAAGTTTCTCAGGAAATTGCACAAGCCAAGAGTGGAATGGGATTCCAGTGAAGTCAGTAAAGTCAATGCAGTCAGCCCTCAGGGCCCTCGATCTGATCTCACCCATCTCTCGAGAGATGAAATTCCAGCAGATTCCAATGCAAAAGGGAGCCAGAAGTGAGTCAGAAAGGAGGGAGGGGTTGCAGAAGCTGGTGTTTGGAGGGGAACAAAGCAAGAGGAGGACGGATGATGTCTTAGTGGAGCCCTGGGACAGGGCCTGTGGCAGGTGGGGGAGGCAAGAGCCAGCTCTGCCACCGACTCCCCGTGAGACCCTGAGCAAGTCATTTCACCTCCCTGCCTCCCCTGTGTAAACCAGCTGACCACGCTCATTTGTATCATCTCCAGGTCAGGGACAGCCTGATGTTGAACCCTTACTGGATTAATCTGGGACCCAAAACCACCAGTGGAAACTGAAGGTCCCTTTATTTGACCAT